AACACATCATATCGTTTTTTACAAAGAAAAAAACTGTATCGGCTGTATCAGTATACATTGTGTATAAATAAAATTTTTTTGTCACACATAGAATTTGAAATACCGCCCCATACGTAACTTGTATAACGACAACGATCATTTCTATCTTATAAAGTGCTAACTCAAAGATGGAATCGAATACAAGTATCCTAAACGAATTTATAACGGATGTATCGAACTCAAAAAATTATCTTTTACTTCGCAATTTTCATTAGTTAGTTTTCAAAAGTACTTTTAATCGAGAATGAATTCTGTTATTTTTTATTACAATCTAACAAATTGTTCGAAAGGATTCCTTTTGAAAAGATTTATCAACGCTGAATGCATGTAAATTACAAAGGAGGTATTGCGACAATTTATAAAAGTAACGTGATTGGATGGGCCAATGGATTACACAATTCAAAGCAAATTACTCAACATGAACATTTTCTAAACCGAATTTTTTTGTTTCTAACACAATTAAATTTTTCAAAATAGATTCAGGCTTATGATATGGGCCGGTGGAAAACCTGTGGGCCGGGGCTGATAACTTCTGCAATCAAATCACAAGAACTTCGTGTAATATTAGCTTCATACATGCATTTTTATTTTTCTTTGAAAATACATGTGCATGTATTCATGATCTGAGAAACAAGCTGACATTTATCCTTAATAAAAGTTATTAATTTGTAAGTTTGAAAATAATTAATTCTCTTTAATAGAGATTTGAAATTTATAAAAAGCCAACTGTAGAATCGGCAGTTTTATTTCAAACAAAAACAACACTGAGAGACACAGTTTAAAATTAATTACAAAAAGATAAAATTACAATTTATCAAATTTGTCACATTAAAGTTGGACTAAGTTACCATACGCCAATTCCTTTAATTTAATATCAATATAATGATGATATTTATTCGCGAATTTTTATCAAAGCCTTAGGAAGCATTTTTAATATTCCCACATTTACATCGTACGTTACTAACCAGGGGATATATCCTTTGTTTTCTAATCTGCGAGACTCTATGTTTCCACCAATAGTGTGTGAATCGTGCATGAACGATTAGTATAATTTTTAATAACTTTATCGTTCTTGGCCGAAGATTATTTTAATATTATAAGTAATACGCAACATAGTAGCAAGCAATATCCTGCTTACTTTTATTTCTCTTACTGTTCTAACTATCCAACCAACCTTTTATACAAAATCTTTAATTTCCCTTCCCACGCTCCCTTCCACATGACTTCTTTTTGGTATTTTTGCGAGAATCTGATGAGACATTAGTGATCGAGTTCGCGCGAAAATACCATCATTTGATTCGTCTAGTCGTGATGAATTGAATATTGATGTTTTTTTTTGTGTTAGCACTGGATAGAAGCATGTCATGTAACGTAACATAACTTACGAGGAAATATTTGTAAAAAGCTCAGAAATTATCCGGATAATATCCAGATATAAAATCTATCGATAATATTTATTAAAGAAATGTTTATTTTCGCAGAAACTTCTCGATCTAAAAGTTAGAGATTTTTATAGGAAAAATGATCTATCACGCATATATAAAAATGAAAGGACAGAATGCAAGAATCAAGGAGAACCTGCTCAACATTAAAAATAGATTAACCCTTTACTGCACAAACGTTGAATAAATTAATTCTTTGCTCTTGATGAACTTTTTCCTGTCTTTAACAATTGCGAGATGATCTTTTTTGCACTTTTTGGATGCATCATCGTATGATGATGTGAACCTTGTCACCTTTTTACTTTATACAAATTTCCGCATACTCGAAAGCAATTTTACGTAAAAAATCACGATATTTCTGCTCAGCCTTTGTTCTAGACCAGTCTATCCGAATTTTTTGTATGATACACGTTACACTTGCAGTGAATGACAATTTTTTCCAGGATCATTGCCACTGTTACATTTAACGGGTAGATGTGTGTCATCTTATTTTTTTATACATGCACATGTAAAACCTTTTTTAAAAGAATACAGTACATGTGTAATCAAAAAATACATATTGTAAGGGGAGATTGTCTATAATAAAATTGTCACCAATCTAAAAATGGTGGTCGTCCGAATCGAAACCACGTTTCTCTCTTTCGAATATCAATACTCTCTTTTAATAAAAAAATGCCAAGAAAAAGACTTCACACTACTAAAGCCTGTGAAGCGTGTAGGAAAAGAAAATGTAAATGTATTGGCAAGACTCCATGCCAGCGTTGTTCGAGACTTGGACTAGAGTGTGTTTTTGTCAGCACACTAAAGAAACGTGGTCCGCAGAAAAAGATATACGACACGATAGCTTATGAGGAAGATTTTAGTGTTAAAACTAATACATCATTAAATGGAACCTCAAACGTATTTAATTCCACTGCAACGATAAATCAAGAATTATCGTTGCCATCATTGTCTCAACTTGGATTAGACAAATTTTTTGCTCCATCGAAAGATGAGCTAAATAGAACAGGCAATAAACATTATACTATTTTATCAAATGTAAGTTACAGTAAATAATTTACTAATCTACAGTATCTTCATTTATTATTTAATATAAAGGTTCCGATCAGTCTTCCGATTTGAAGCTTAAAATAGATTTCAAGTCACTAAAAGAACTGCAAGAGGTAACTTGCTTTCGTCTTCAAACCCTAAATCCGGCGAACATTGATCCATATAATTTTGCTGTCGAATCAACCTATAAATTCAAATTAAGCTATTGAATTGCGTCTTAAGTTACAATTCCATATTGCAATTTAATTTTTATGCTTATTAAGAAATTAAGTTTTTAATTTTTACACCTATTTGCGAGGAAAATTTATCGTACTTTATTTTTTTAAAACGCTTAGAATTAACATTTAAGCTATATGTGTAAAAGAAAACTGCAATTATAAAGGAAATTTGATTACTCACATGTACTCAGTTCTCAAACTATCTTTTGCAACAACAAAAAAATGGTTTATCGTTATATTTACTCGAGTAATTATTTTCAAGATAAAGAATCAATAAAAGGTTGTTATGCTCTTTAGTCAAATATACTTATGTACTAGTAATGTATATGTAACAGAATATGTGTTTATTAATTAATATAAAGTATATTATGTCAAATTGTTGTATTAAGAAATAGAATTTTTATTAAAGATTGAAACTTTTACACAATTCAACCTCCCTATAATGATACTTTTTATAATGGAACTCTCTCTATAATGATTGAATTTTCAAGAATTAAAAATTGACCTCCATATAATAACATTCTCTTCATAAAAACAAAATTAGCCTGGATATTGATGTTCTTATAGAGGGTTTTGACTTGTATTAATATAAAGATTGGAAATTTTAGTTATATCAAAGTCTTAATTCTTATTACTAAGAATATACATATATATGGATCAGTGCAAAAAGATTTGTATCTCAATATAAAAATCAATAATTGCTTCTAATAAAAATTATTCAAATTTTAATCAATTTTTATTTTTTTTATATGAATAAAAAATTATCTAAATTAACTTTTTATACTATTTATACTTTAATTCAATAATAAATAAAGTATTATTTACTAAAAAAAAAACTAAAATAAAATTATTTTTTTATAAAAAGATATTTT